GCGTTCATTCCCACCTGTATAATGGTAGAAGGGTAAGTCAGGATCACATCTCTTGGTGTACTCCAGCATCACTTTTGGGAACACATCATGAAATTTTTTCTCATCAAAAATATTTCCCAACAGCTCATGTAAGAAAGCAAAAATTCCTTCAACATCATCTGTAGAACTTGCTCTTGGATGTTCAGAGTCAAGACCTTTTCTAATACCATAAAATCTCCTATGCTCTTGGCTTTCAATATTCGTTGTTAAGGCAACAATGATTTCACGAGTGAAACCTTTGATGCCATTTAAAGGCCTAAATATAAAGTAACAAACATTAATTTAAGTGTGTGACATTAATGGCACCAATCTCATATGCAGTTGCCCTTTGAGGAGTTATGTACATACTCTTCTGTTAACAAAAGGGTATTTTAACCCATTAAGTTGCATTGCACCCCAATACATTCTACTTCATCTTTTTACTCTGTACAACCCCAGACACTCTTACTCGGCAAAGGGAGAGCACTGGCTCTAAACGGGTTAGAAAGAGTGTTTAATAGACTCTACTATTACTTGTGTCTCCAGTGAAGCCACAATAGGTCCATTCTCTGTTAAACTAGTTACTTTGTCTAAACTTATATAGGAGGATTTTACCCATTAACAGTAAGTGTTGGGTTGAAGATTACATACCATTAATTATGATCAAATAACAACGTGAACACAATCTCATACTGTACCTGTTGACATCTAATGTTGGAAAATCCATATTGCTTTCGTACCAAGGCATCCAATTTTCTAAAAGGAAGTTTAGCATTGCTTGATTATAGCACTTGCGTTGTTCTTTCGAAATACCTCTTCCATCTGTTGCTTTATGCCAATTGGCGAGAATTGTCCCTCCCGGTGGTAATTGTGCTTGATTAACCATGTTGACACAGCTTCTGAAAGCAACTTTTCAGCATCGGGTACACTTTGTTTTCTCTTCCCAGTAAGAGCAGTGTAAGTCAAGCCGGTGCTAGGATCATTCATGGCTTCGACAAATGCTTTCATGTTAATGTTAGGAACTGTACCTTTTCTTACACGCATTACAATTCGTTTAAGCACATGATTATGATCCTCACGTTCGTAGTGAGGTTCCAAATTATCTGGATCACACTCTGGTACATACAAATGCCGTTTAAAATCCACACCTTCTGCACAATACACCCCAACTTTATGCCGATAAATGTATGTGGCCATCAGCGACTTAAGGCAGTCCCCCTTGGTTTCAGTCTTGCCTATTTATAACAAAATATGCAAATTATTTAATATTCATATCTCTTTGCAAGCACTAAATTAAATAATTCCAAATGGTCTATTTGCTTATTACATTCTTATTATGTCCCTAAGCTTTTACTAAATGATGGTTTATTTTGTTATCCAAAACATGATCAACTGTTTTTGGCAGGGGCCCCACCAGCTTGATAATTGGGGGGGGGGATATTCATATATTTATGTTCACACAGACCTTGAAAACAATCTTAACTTAAGAACAAAGAAATTAATAATGCAGAACACAAATATATGAATATGTGCCCCCCCCCCCAATTATCAAGCTGGTGGCGCCACTGGTTTTTGCCAAAATAAATTCCCTGTTAGATCAGTAAATATTTCCTATTAATACTATTATACTAACTGTACATTGTCATGTGCTAGACATATTTATGCTGTATTTATTCTAATAGCATCATTATCTAACAAACGCCACTATCCAGTAAACACCCCAATAATAAATGTGTCCCCCCCCCATTTTAAGAAGATAAAATACCAGAAGTTATCGTTTCACATATTAAATCCATACAATCTTCCACATAATAGTACTGTGACTCACCTGCAACCCATGGGTGTGGATCATAAAAGAATGGGAAGTGAGTCCGACGAAGAATGTGTATAGCCTACTCAAACTTAGTACCACCATTTATGAAATCATCCAGTCATATGATGTCTTCCACTGGCACTGCTGGATGTGTTTTAACAGTCTGTACAGTACGGTCAGTACCTAGTGTAAAAAAATATATATCAAATAGGGATAGCTTCTTAATTTTAACAGGTAGCTATCAAGCCAAAATGCTGGGGTTTACTACAAAAAATATTACTGTTCACATGACATTTATACCAGACTGCGTGCCACAGTCACTTGTTAACATTAAGCCATTGAGAGCCAACTCTCTCCCTTTGATAAGGAAAATCGTCTTACATTAGCAAGCACAAAATAATAAAGTAGGAATAATTAGGGTGCAATGCAACTTTGTTAATTAAAGCACAACACACCCTATTTTGCTCCAGTAATGTTAGAAAATAATGCTAGAAAATTTTATTGGGAAGGAGCTAAGAATAAATGGTTTATCTACAAACATATAGTAGAGTAGTAGAACATATATGCCTAATGAAGCATGTCTTTGCATGCATGCACAGTACCTGAGCCTCTACCAGTAGGTTTCAGAAACTTCTCTATTTCCTTAACTGATAAAGATCTTGCTTCATCTTTGGCATCTTTCAACAGCTGGATCACTGAAATTGGTCTTTTCATTCCCTGAGTCCGCAGGGAGTTGAACTCTCCATCCGTCGCGAATCCTAATGATGCAAAATAAGATATACAATTTGTCTACCATATTGTACCTCCCCCCTCCCCCTTTGGATAGTCCAGGACATACAGGAATGTGAAATATAACTAACCCCTACCCTTGAAAAACAGTTATTCATCTTTACTTAATAATGGAAAATGAAAAAGGTGATCAGGTGTGCGGGTTGTGATAAGGTGGACTTTAATGATCTGGGTTTGTTTTGCACTTCACTTGGTGGAATTAATCTTAGCAAACCAGATAATTAAAGTCCACCATAAAAACAGATCATTAAAGTCCACCGTAAAACCAGATCATTAAAGTCCACCATAACCAAATCATTAAACCAAATCATTAAAGTCCACCAAAAAACTCAAATGGCTATTTTAATGGGTAATAAATGTACATCTCATGGAGGAATCATATTGAAGTCGAACAGAAATGTTCAGTACATTTATGAATTCCCCAAACACTCATACTTGCATTTAAGGATTATGATACACAAAGTGAACTTCATAACTGACAGTACATTACCTACAGGTACCATTCCAAGTTCCTTCATTGCAACCCTAAGCTCTTCTTTCAGCTCTCGAAGTTTGGCATCTGTGATGGTTGCATACTTAAGAACTCTCATAGGAATGGCATATGGTTTTTGGTTTCTCTGCTCATCGCTTATCATAAACAACAGTAGGTGGGACGCAGCTTGTCGCTTCTTAAGGTATAGTAGTCACTTCACATATTATTCAAGCTTTTTCTTTAAATTAGAAACAGACAATGAAATATTCCCTTTATCTGATGATAATGTTGTCAACATACTTTCCAAAATATTGTCGATGATTTTTGACATGGAATCATTTGCCTGTATTAATTTTGAATATCCCTCCAAATCCCAGGCAATGGCAAAGAGAGACTGTTCAGACACACCAACTTGCTGTCGCTTTTTCTCATATATAGCTTTCATGGAGTCATATCCTTTCTGTAAAAACATTTTTTCTTCTGACAGCAAGCTGTTTCGTTTCTGAAGGCCTAACTTTACATAATCATCTGCTTTCCGTGTCTTTCTACAGATACTTTGAACAAATTTCAAGTACGCCATGTACTCTTTATGACATTTCTGTAGAGCATTATCACCCCAGTCAACATCACCAGACCATTCTTTGCGCACAGATTCTCTCAATCCTGTTTGAATATCTGTCCCATCTGCTTTGATCCATCATCTGGCATTTAGATTAATGTTCTTCACATGCCTTAACGCTGAAATCTGAAATGTAATGTTAATTTAGTAGTGAATACAAGGATACAAATTATCTGCCATATTCATTTACTAGACTTGGTTAAGTAGAAGCATTTGTCAATTCAGTTACGTTTTAGTTAAATACAAATGCAATGTGCATGAGAAAAAATAACATTCAAAACATTTAAAAGTCAACAATTGCACACACTATACATAATCTAATTTTAAGGTTAGTTATATTAGGAATGTCTTGGCAATGATTTTACACTCGCCTGTATTTCTGTGCCCTTTGTAAAGCTGCATTCGACAACAATCCTCCGGATAGTTCTTGAAGATGGACTTGCAATATTCACTTTTGCCTAGAAATATTTACATTTCTAATTCATTACTCTCAAAAAGCAAGGTCCGTCCGGCAATGTGTAATCTCTTGACTGTTGCCATTCAACATGGAGCTTATATATTTCAGGCTGTTTTAAGGGGGGGGTAATTTCTTTTTTTTTGCGGGGGGGGGGTAACAAAAAGAGCCCCCATGGGTTGTTCCAGAAAGATCCACACTTCTCGCAGGGAGGAAATTTCTGTTTAGAGTAAGAGGAGAAAATGTGTTACTGATAACAGTAAGTGTACTAATTTGGACATCTAAAGTATGGATATTTTCTGCAATTTCAAGGCAAGAGCATTTAGCTTTTACACAGTCAGGTATTCAATAATATCACAGCATGGATATTTGAGAGGCATGAAATTTGAAGGAAAAGAGGGCATAGTAGAGGATTTATGGTGCATGTAAGTATGACCATACCCTGAAGTAACAGAATAGAGGTTACATACTTACATGCTGTCGAAAATCACCTACTAAACATACAGTAATGATTCCAATATACCTCACCTTCAAAGGATCTCCACATGTGTTCTTTGTCACACGAACTGGTGGACTCACACCATGCATCTTTTCCAAGTCAGCCATATTGGGGATATGCTTGCACCTTCATTCTCTCTCTTCTCTGCGTCAGAAAGAATGCCCCATAGCGATGATGGTTGTGTCACTTGTGGCAAAGTGTCAGCAGATGCATTTAATTGGGTGTCAGACATGAGAGACTTCATAGTCTCTGCCAAGATGTCACATGATGGCACACAATGAACAGTGTCATGTTCCAATGATGTACAGGAAGCATTTCAGTGTTATGATGCTGAACGTCACATTCACTTTCAGAAGATGGACAAACCAAAGATGTGCAGGTAACATCTCTTGATACCATGTCTGAAATGAGGGGTCCTGTTGTAGTAGACAATGGTTCAATTTCAGGCAGGGAATTAGATGATCTTTTTGGTGTTGTAGTTAGCCTTGTTGTGAAAGTAAATGGCATACATTCAGGCATAACATCTGATGTAGACAACGATGATGTTTCACTTAAGCTTGTTGTTGAACATGTGTCATCAGGCTCATATGACCACATTGGACCACAATGCATTGATGCCCACTTATTGCCAAACAAGGTGTACATAGACTGACACCAGGATTTATAATCATCCGGGGCTTGAAGTCGAGTTGCATCGTCCACCGAAAAGAAGCCGAGGTTATGTGAAATCATTCCAAAGGGCATTCGGTTCAGTGGCATTCTTGGTTCAGTCTTTCCTGGAGGTATTTGTCCAAAACAACGCGAGGCATGATATAGCGGATTTTTCTTGTTATTCATCTTTAGAATGTTCAATGAAGTGCCCAATAATGGTAAAAAATCCCTTGGAACATAGTGGCCATCTAAATTTGCATTAATATCCAGAAGTAGCCATTTGTGGAAGAGTGACACTAATAATTGCTGTCTTTGTCGTTCAGTCAGTTTGGTAAATCCATTTGTCACAATATCCAGGATAAATGTCCTAAGTTCTGCATTCTCGCAATTTCTTAAGGGAGAAAAACCGAGCATTGGCGACTGAGCTTGATGTTTCACAAAATTTTTTGGTGTTTGCGGAGTCGCATTGTCTTGACATATTCCACTGAAGTAATCAATATTGTAAGCCTTCTCGGCTTCCTCCAAAGTCTCATATTTCTGTTTCAGGAACTTGCCCACCTTCTGTCTACACGCATTTCCTACAGCAAATTGGGAAATTTAATAAAATAATGAACAGTGTGCAAGGTTCTGCCAAGATCTGGTTATTGCAAGGTTCAAAATCTGAAAATTGTCCTGGGAGGGGATACTCCCAGACCAAATTCTGCTGCTATTGCCATATATGTGAAGTAGATATGATTCTTATCATGGTCAGGGACACAACATTAGATAAGTTTGTTCCACAATTGGTTGCAAAAAGTAGTTACATTCCATACTGTGAGTAAACCAAAGCATAGAAGGAAATAAATAGAAATTATAGCTTACCTGTACGTTCTATTTTCCCAGTTGATTGATGTATTGCTTTGGCGCAGGTGTCCCAGAAATCCTTCCTTTTATGTGTTGGCCACACACCAGAGGTATCAGCATCAACATTGTGATATAATGCAATGAATTCAACAAGTGCACTAAGTTCATCTGATCCCCATTCAATCTTTGCTGGTTCTGTTATTTTTCCCACTTTTTCCTCCACAGACTGGAAAAGTGCCTTTTTGGAAACACCCTCTCGTCTTTGCTTAGCAGGTTTCTTGCCAGGCGTATCACCATCTCTTTTAGCCAATTAAGTTGCTCATCACAGTTTACTTACATCCTATGGTACAAATCAAACGAAAACTACTAAATATATACAGCTATAAATTATTATTCACGTTAAAGTTGCACTTCTCTTAGCAAATGTAAATGCACATTAAATGTAATTGCCCACTGGCTTCCCGTCAAATACCCGCATTCTTTTATTACAAAGCGCCATTCGTGCGCCATGATGTTCCGCGATTACTGCCGTCGTAGTGATATATTCAAAGCGTTATATTTTATAAACGGCTGAGGGCTCGACGGGGCTCATCAGCATTTTACAAAATATCAATGTTTCTAGTTTATAAAAAAGTATATAGCATTTCACTATGTGCTTTAGTTAGGATACCAGAGGCAGTTAAACACTAACATCTCAAATACCTATGAAAAGTTGACAGAAGCTGTATTTGCACTTTAAAACTTTTATTAATATTATATCTTTTGTACAAAACGCCAAAAATAGTATTCTATCGAACATGGCCACGTGTCCGTAACAACGTAAATAAACAATAGCGTGAGCAAAGATCGTCTCTCAGATTTGCGCATAAGGCAAGTTCATACTTTTTATACTTTTTATTTCAGATTAAGTAAACAATACTTACAATACATTGCAGTTTTTAAACTAAGCTTTAGTAATTTAGCCGCGTGCGCGGTATTTGGAAATTAATGTTTTATTCCATTTCAATCAAGCGGAAAAGTACAAATCTTAAAGTTAATATTTAACATGACAAATGTAAACAATGATCGTTAATTTCTCGAAATAATTCAGTTCTTATACAATAATGTCCATATATCAAAAATTGGAATTAAGACTACAATGTTTGTGTCCAAGTCGAATCAATTGAATACCGTTCATTTTTCCCCTTTAACCGGTACTCTGCTCATGTGACGAGCATAAACCTGGTATGCGGATCTCAGACCACTTTCCAGAGCACCTTGAATCCAGCCTGGAGCAAATGTACGCACTTACTGTTAAATATCCTAATCTAGCTCAGCATGTCACTGAGTTCAGTTTAGCATTTCATTAACTCCAATAATTTTTTTTACTAAAGTGACGGATTCATGGTGGATTATTTTCAAGATACAATATTAGCGGCCGTGTCCAGGGGCGTAGCAATCCACAAAGAGTGGGGCGATCTAATCATCCGGCAGGCCAAAATTTTACTATTTTTACGGTCTGCGAAACGCCATTATTTCATGAATTTTCAACACCTTTTATAATAATCTGAAAGCAACAGATTTGGTATATTTTATGCCATAGATCAAAACATTAAGAGGTTACCGCACCCCACCCCCAGTTTCTCCTGAGTTTTGAAAGAATTACAAAATTAATTGGTCCTGATCACCGAATAGAAGCCAAATGTGATACACAACTCAGACGAATTCGACAACGATGCGGCGACTGATTTGTACCTGATATTATTGAATTGTGTCGTCTTCAAAAGGCCATAGGCACCTTGATAAGATGGATGATTATACCAAGCATGGACAATACACTTTTCAACCTCGTCTTGTTCATTGATTTCTGGGTGGATTTCAGCGACTTGTTCAATTGCTTCCAGTCTGGCTTGCTCTCGTGTCAGCGATCCGAAAAGCAATGCTTCATTCTTCCATGTGTAGATCAAAATTAGCCCTTGGTTCGTTGTGCCGATGTATTCCGGATCCGGCCTGACGTAATGAATTTGACCGATTGGAAGGTTGGTCTTGGAAAAGCCACCTTGGATGTTGTAGGTTAATTTATTCTCCCAGAATCTTGACTTGGTTTGCAGGATTATTTTCGTGGCAGGTCCAGTGTAGATGTCTTCAATGGCTTGAATATTCTTCCTTAGGGCATTCTTGGTTGCGTCGTCTTTAAGAACCGGTATAAAAGTAATTTGGCGCAGTATGTTCACAGGGGTGGTAACAATTACAGCCTGCATTGTAAGGAAAATTGAGCCATTAAAAGGATTTTGATAACAGTATATCGTACACAGTGACAGAGTACAGAATGTGCTGCTCTACTATAACACGACGTAGCTAAGCAAAGAAATGCGCGAAAAAGATGTCCATGAAGTTTGAAATAAAACGTAAGCCAACCTAATGAAGCACATTCAAAACTGTTTGGCTTCGATGACGCCCAGCTGTCATCGAAGCCCAGCAGTCTTGGCCTGGGTTCGATTCTCGTTCCAGCGAAAAAGGTTAGTCAACGGTCTACCAAACGTCGTGGGTTTTCTCCGTGTACTTCAGTTTCCTACATGCCACAGGGAAGGTTTGACAGGGTGGATTTAGACCTGATCAGCTGTGCTCCTTGATCAGACACGAGTCGTTTAGCGGTTACCAGAGGCGACCTTTAGCAATTACCTTCGACTCAATCAGTCTGAGCTGGGCCCTTCGGCTTAGGCTAATTAAATATGCGTGAAATCACAAACTCAGTAAGTTATTGAAGTGGGCCACTTGCCTTATAGTGATGCCCGCTATGCATGACGGTAGGAGTCATCACTTTGCAATCGAACGACATGGCAAACTGCGAGCGAGAGTTTTTGTTTTCAAGATGAAATTAACAACTTTTTTACATCCTTCGATAACTTTTATCCACAGGAAAACAACAAGAGAGCTCAAAACCACGTGTAGATGTAATTTGACGACGTTACGCATATATTAATGGCGTAGAAAATTTCCTGAAAAAACTGACATAACGAACAAAAACAGGTGAGTTCGCGTTTTAAATTAAGATCGGACATGTTCTTAACAAAATTAACATTCATTGACAGTTGTTTGTACTGAATCTCAAGGTTATTTGGATTCAATGAGTTTATAAATCCAGAACTATACAGAATAGGGGTTCTGGGACGGGTAGAGAGGGCGGCAGCAGTAAAACTTCACCTATGACGTCATCAGCGTGGCTCTGAGACGGGTGGAGTGTATGACAGACGTTTGGAGTAATTGATAAGACGTAATTGATATGCAAAACATGGTAAATGCTTTAATTCTTCTATTATAAATATAGTCTTTCGCAGTACCAAGATTAACTTAATATTAATTTGTAGTTTGTGTTATGACCGCAATTTACCTGGAAACCCAGTTTATCAGGCTAACCAAGACTCCAAGTTGATGCGAATCCTCCTAAAGCCACTGTGGATTATTCTATTATTATTAGAAAATAACCCGTGTTCTCTCGAAGGTATATGTATTTGAAAGACTTACACATTATTAATTGGTTGAGCACATTGACTTCCAAAAGCTGTTGAAAGAGAACATATCCGAATTTAGGAAAGACCATTCAACTACCACAGTTCTGCTAAATATTAGAAAAGATCGACGTACTTCGTCCAATGAAGCGTGGGGAACTGGTTGCCTATCAAGGAACAACGTGAATGGAACGTTCTAAAATATGTTATAAAGCGCTTCGCGATGAAAACTGGCCAAGTTACCAAGAACTACAATTGGTTCAACATTCTCCAGTTTTGAGATCAAGCAAAGGCTCTCAGCTTTAAGTCCCTTTTATTAATTAAGAACACATTACAAAACCAATCAGCACATCTTTTTAACCAATTACCTGGAGAAATTAGGAACGGCAGACTACAGAGTATTCTACAATGAGACCAAGAATTCCTTAGTCTTGAAAGCATGGTCAAGACTTGGATAATCTCAAAAAGAAACATTTAAATGAATATAGTTTCGTACAGTATTGTTCTAACTTAGTTAATTCGTAATTGTGTTCGTAAAATTTTGTCCTGTCGAACACGTTGTATATTCAAAGTTATATTGCAGTAATATTCGTAAAATAGTTTATGTAGGCTTTATGAATAATTGATATAATTTAGTAAGCGTAGAGCCACTCTGTGGATATATTACCAATAAATCATCATAATTATTATTAGTCCTCGAGCCGACGGCGCGAAGCGCCGTGCGAGGGTACTAATTCCCACCGGCTATTTACACCCGGGGAAACGAAAGCATTAGCGGAGTCTAAAGTTCATCAATTATCGCGGGCGTGGGTCACCAACGGTGTTGGGTGGGTGGTCATCCTCACTGATCCCAAAAATATGGTGGACTATCACGAATAGCGGACACTGATTGGTCCAATTTAAAGTTTGCATTATAACGACTGCATGACGACAGCGAAATAGCAAACATTTCTTGATTTGATGATTGATAAATTTCTTGCAAATATATTTCATTTTGCTCCCATTTTTGCAAGATTTTGTAAATTTTAAAAGCTCTCTGAGAAAGAAACTGCGAAAGAATCGGCTAAAAGAAGGGAGCCGACGTTAACGAAGGTAAGTTTGTTTTAAATATTGATTTTATAATGGTTTAAAACCCGACGGCCTTTGCGTATATGAAACAACTAAACAAAACAGCAAATAATTTCAGTGTATCTTTAATATTAATTCCTTTCTTATGATATTTATTATTGAATTTTTTAAATAAAAAAGAAAGCAAAGTTATTTGCAAACTCAAAGTTTATCGATAAAGCCATTTTAAAAGGCAGTTTAGTTTTATAACACTATAGTGACTTTAAAAACTTTTGCGAAGCGTTTGTGGTTGAATTTTACCTTAAATTGAGGCCTATATTACGTCTAATAACATACCTAACATATATATGTTGGGAAATTAATAATTTTGTAATTAAAAGTGATATTTTTAGGCGATTTTTCACTTGTAAGAATATTCCTAAAAAATTATCGTGTTACCATGACAACTACTTTAGATACTTCATGTTCGGAAAATACAATGGTTTTGTCAGCAAGGCGAGGATTTCGGCATGCATGTATTTTCTAGTAGTAGTAGTATCACCAGAGTACCCAAGAGCCAACGGGGAGGCAGATTTTCATCAATTGATTAAATGCCCAACAATAATTACTGAATTTGTGTTAATATGCAACACAAAGTTGTTCAATCTGAAGTCATTAACAACCATTTAAGAGGCTGTCTCCGTAAAAACCTCCAAGTCAGTATGATGGGACTCAAAAATAGATTTCTCTCATACTCTAGTATTTTGAAGATCTATTCTTGGGAACAACTAAAATCGATTTTATTTTACTCAAATTTCCTTTAAATTATTTTTGGGGGCGATTGATGTTTGAACTCCGAATGAAGGCAAAATATCGACATATTTTCAGCGCTATTTTTTAAATCAAATTCATACCTAAATTTCAATGACTTATCCTTCTATTTTCGCGGGTGATATGACTTAGATAATTATTCTTTGGTATAAAATAGAAAACAGCGCAGTTATTGACCCTCCTGAACGCATAACGGATATCGTCTCAAAATATGTCAACTTCGAAAGCTTATTTCAAAATCGTGGCATTTGATTGGGACATGACTTTAACTTTTCTATAAACTACTAACATTAGTCAACACAAATCGCCAATAATATCTTTCTGATCTACCATTTGACAAAAATGACAAGCGCGCAAACTTTGTAAAATTTGAAAATGTGTCGAAATCGAGCATACTTTATCGGTAAACCTTTAAATTTATTGATATTCAGTAACAAATAAAACCACCTTACGCTACACTGAATGAAGCTTGATTATGTAAATATATGTCTTTCATCATTATTCTCTGGTTTTGCACTCGAAAGAAATTGTTTGACTGTACAGTTTGACTTAAAGGATAGTCCGCATTGAATTAAATAGAAGTCTTAGACATTATTGCACGAGGTTTTTGTGTTTACAATAATGGTGTTCTACTTCTACTACAGCCGCAATTTGCGATCACGCAACGTTAGGTAAACCTAAACGATTTCGACAGACAGTAGATCTTATGTTGACAGATGAGAATGACGGTAAGCAATAATGTAGAAATGTTCCTTTTCTATTTCTGAGTGTGGAAAATTCCGAGACACAGCTAGTAGACTGTTCTTCGAAGTTGCTGGCGTGTAAGAATGACATTAGTTATCACTTGCAAATTTGTCACCTTTTAAAGCTTGTCGGAAAGAAGAACATAAATTAATTCTAATTTTCAGAACCTTTCTAAGGGGACGATTACATGGGCGAGTTGTCCCGGTGTCCCAGGATTTTCGCCCCCAGGGGGGCAAAAATCCTAGGAATTTCGCCCCCCTTTAGGAAATTCGCCCCCCTTTAGAAACTTCACCTTTTCTTTAGGATTTTTGTCCTCCGTTCAATATTTCGCCCTTCCTAACAGTTACATGGTATAATTATTACATGGCTTTAATCATTTGAAATCAGCATCAATTCAAAATTGTTAAGACAGAGCTTGAAATAACAACCGATCACCGATCGGCAGGGAATTGCTTATGATCGGCGGAAAAGCAGCGTTTCGGTTTCCAACCTGAAAAAAGCAGGGAAAGTCATGACTACCGATCACCATGATCGTGAACTTTGGGAACGTTTATTATTTCAAGCCCTGCATGTAAGAATACAAATTTACAATTACATGTATCGAAAGTGCTTACACAGTTACAGTAGATCAATAGGACTTATGACGCTTCACAGCTCACCATGCATATTTTGCATTTTCAGTGTTAATCCTTAAACTCATTGTTAAAAAGTAATCACCGTGGTGGTTATTGTAATTATTGGTATTGTTTTGCATTCACGTTTTGTCGTTATTTTGTCGTTTTGTCGTCAGCAAGTAGCTCTCGTGTGCAGATAGTTTTCGTGAGGATTTGACCTCTCGAGGCCTTGAGGAAAATATCTATCGTGTTTGATATTTTTCGCCTCGCGAGGAAAAAATCTCAGCGTCTGCGGATGTTGTGAGCTAAGTGCTGAGCTGTTTCAATCAATTAACCAATGACAAACCATGGTTTCTTCATGTGACATGGAACAAAATGGAGGAAAATGCAAATAATTTTGTTAATTATGTTGTTGTTGAGTAGTTTTCCCAACGTGTGCGGTGAAAATACATAGCTGAGCTAACGGCCTCGCGAGGCGGTTAGCTCAGCAAGTTGCTCTCGTGTGCGGCGGGCTTAAGTTGTCACTATTTTTTACTTGCATTATTTCAATATGGTTTGTAAATCTCAGAAGCGAAGGGTAGAACTTGCCAATAGGCAATACTCCAATAATTCTCGTTTCAACTGAAAGACAGAAAAGCTTTTAGTTTTGCCGAGTTACATTTTCAAATGTTTAAGGCACTAATAAAATCAAAGTATCATGAAATTATTTGAATAAACCACACCACATATATAATGCAATTTTCTTTGTGGAAGTCAAGAATCAAGATTACATCACTAACACTGACATGGAAGTTGATGATTCAACGGACAATAGTCAATACGCTTCCCAACACATTCCATAGATTTTTTATTAATCCTATAGTTTATTGTTAGCAAGTGATTAGTACACTAATTACTGTGGCGGCTATTGTTAACACTGGTATTGATAAAATTTGCAAGCGATTGTTTTTATAATATGTTATGTGATGTAAACTGCCAGAAGAATACGACAACATGATTTTATGCGATCTCTGTGGGCAATGGTTCCACTTTAGATGTGTAGAATATGACACTAATTAAGTACCTCAAATGAGTGGTTATGTAGACTGTGCAGTGTGCACACTACCAGCTGCTAAGAAGCCTAAAATGTGTATGTAATTTTGTCTCCTTGTAATAAATAAATAAATCACACAATAAATCTTTTCAACTTGCAATCGTTTTGTTTTTAGATCAAAAACTCAAAATTTATTTGGGGGGGGCGAAATTCCTAAAGGGGGGCGATATTCCTAGGAGATTCGCCCCCCTGGGGGGCGATATTCCTAGGAGATTCGCCCCGGGGGGCGAATATCCTAGGAATATCGCCACCCTTTTGAGAGGGGGGGGCGAATCTCCTGGGGGGGGGGGCGAATCTCGCGTTGACTCGCTTTGCCGAGTTGACCCGCTTCCCATATGTATTGTCTATTATTTTGACATTTCGATTACATGCAAAGCGAGTTGTCCTGCCTTGCCGGGACCGCGGCTGTAGCTTGCCGAGTCAACTCGCTTAGCCGGGACAGAAATTGCCCACACATCCCATGTAATCGCTTTTTGCCGAGTTGGCTCGGTTAATTGGGGAATGGTCCATTCAAAAGTCAACTCGATTTATAGGCGGGACAACTCGGCAAACGGGGACAATTTGGCCGATGTAATCAGCCCCTAATTGTTACTGAAAAAAGGAATAACATTGATTAAATAACTGAGACGTTCAAATGGGTTACAGCTGTTTGCGATGAATTGTTTTGTATTATATCAAAATATTCGCATATTTTTATACAATAAGAAATAATATAAATTCTTGAAGCATAGCCTTGAGCAAAGTGACCCAGGGTCGGCCTGAAAAAGTTGATTTTTTATACAGAACCGTGACTTATTTGAATTCTAGTTTCATTGATAATTGTTTCTAAACCTAGAGACAATTCAGTTGCTAGAAAACTATACTGAGCGAAACTAACGAAATATTGACATTTGACATCACAGCGAGTATACATTTCTGTCATTTCTGATTTCTTTCGGCCAGGGCCCGGGATTTTCCCCGAGATTTAATTCGTACATTCTAACGAAACTTTTATAAAACAGTTAAAAACGATGAAAATTCTGTCTGTAGTATGATTAATTCTGAGTTTTCCAATCTCATTGAACATTGTTATTTGTTAAACAGGTAATTAGGTATTTGTTAAAGAGGTAAACAAAGCGAACAGAGCGAAGATTGTATAGTATGTCACAATCACGACTCGTGGCATTGAGGCGCGCAGAAGACACTGGAGATACTGGCATTGAATGACTCTATCCGTGTATCCGTGAAGCCAAACTGTACTCAAACAATTTGATTCAAGCGCCAAACCAAAGAATAATGATGAAAGACATATATTTACATAATCAAGCTTCATTCAGTGTAGTGTAAGGTGGTTCTATTTGTTAATATCAACAATTAGGTTTACCGATAAAGTATGCTCGATTTCGACACATTTTCAAATTTTACAAAGTTTGCGCGCTTGTCATTTTTGTCAAATGGGAGATCAGAAAGATATTATTGGCGATTTGTGTTGACTAATGTTAGTAGTTTATAGAAAAGTTAAAGTCATGTGCCAATCAAGTGCCACGATTTTGAAATAAGCTTTCGAAGTTGACATATTTTGAGACGATATCCGTTATGCGTTCAGGACGGTCAATAACTGCGCTGTTTTCTATTTTATACCAAAGAATAATTATCTAAGTCATATCACCCGCGAAAATAGAAGGATAAGTCATTGAAATTTAGGTATGAATTTGATTTAAAAAATAGCGCTGAAAATATGTCGATATATTTTGCCTTCATTCGGAGTTCAAACATCAATCGCCCCCCAAAATAATTTAAAGGAAATTTGAGTAAAATGAAATCGATTTTAGTTGTTCCCAAGGTAGATCTTCATAATACTAGAGTATGAGAGAAATCTATTTTTGAGCCCCATATTGACCTGGAGGTTTTTACGGAGACAGCCTCTTAAGTGATCATAGCATTGTCTTATGTGTTTTGGTTCAGAAACTGCCGCCACGTATACACGAGTCAAGATCTTTTAAGAATTATTTTAAACAATCATTTGTTGATGACCTTAGGCTTAGTAGTGTTCCATGGAATGTCATTGAAGCGGCTGATTCGGTTGACGATGCTGTTTCCCTTTGGGAGCATTTGTTTTGCAGCGTTGCAGATCAACATGCTCCCATTAAGAAAAAACGTTTGAAAGGTTTTTCTTCCCCGTGGGTGACTGAAAATCTTATTAGTATCCGCCAAGATCGTGATTACTTTCACCGTAAAGCACGAAGGAGTAATGGAAAGTATCACTGGAATATGTACCGGAAACTGAGAAATTATGCTAATCGCGAGGAAAAACGTTTGAAATCAAAATATTTTTGTAATCTCATTGAGGAATCGAAGTCAGATAGCCAAAAGATGTAGAGCATCATAAAAAAGTTCTTCCAACTAACGTGACACAACAAGAGGTCTCTTCCGTGATGTACAACAACAAAACGTATACAAATGACAAAGATATTGCATCTGTTTTTAATAAGCATTTTTCTAGCATTGGTCATAAATCGAGTAAAGTGTTCGGGCGTGTAAAGAAAGTTGTATTACCGCAACCATGTACTGATACGAGGTTTGAACTTAAACCTATACCTGTGGATTTTGTTCAGGATCAGTTACGCGGTCTTAAAGCGAATAAGGCTATTGGCCTTGATAAGATCAGCGCTCGGCTTTTAAATGATGCCTTGGAAGTTATATCACCTGTACTGACTAACTCGATTAATCTTTCTATTGAACAGTCTTATTTCCCTAACAACTGGAAGTCCACAAAAGTCATGGCTTTATTTAAATCCGGTGATAATTAACTGTAATAATTACCGACCAATTTCCATTCTGCCGACCGTTAGCAAGATCATTGAACGTTCTGTCCATTTTCAATTTTATGATTGCTTACAAGAGAATAAGTTACTTTCTATTAGACAATTTGGTTTTAGGCGTAATCGGTCTACATCTAGTGCCCTATCACAGTTCACTGATGAGTTGTTAATGAATATGGGTCGTGGTAAAGTATCTGGCGTCATCTACTTGGATTTAAAGAAGGCATTTGACACTGTCAACCACGCAATTCTACTCCAAAAACTGAAATGGATTGGTATAGACTCAAAGTCCTTACAGTGGTTCCAATCATATTTGGGTCATCGTACCCAGACGACCGTGGTTAATAATTGTTATTCAAACCAGTGTAAAGTGTCTATTGGTGTACCTCAGGGTAGTGTTTTGGGGCCCTTGCTTTTTTTGGTGTATATAAACGATCTCTCGTCGTGTTTACATCATACGCAAACATCTCTATTTGCTGATGACACGGTGATCTACAGCGCAGCCTCTACTCCTAGTGAGCTTCAGACCAAATTGAATGAAGACTTGATGCATCTAAAATCTTGGCTTGACGAAAATAAATTATCCTTAAATTTATTAAAAACTAAATTTATGCTGATAGGTATTAGGTATTATTTTTTATTATGGTAATTTAGTCTTATTTTATACTAATGTATCAAATTCTTCATAATAAAACTGCAAAGTCTGTGTTGGATCTACCAATCGATGCTTCTAGTAGCCAGGCTTTAACAATGTTGAAGTGGTATACTTTGTCGTATAGAAGACAATTCCACAGATGTAGTTTTGTTTATAAAGCCTTGAACAATAATGTAGACTTTAGTATGGAAGAAATTAAAGGAAGTGATTTACACTGTCATGACACAAGCAGGGATGCCGGAAGTTGCTGAGGGCAAGGGGTGTAATTGGTTAACAAGAGGGCATACTCCTTAATAAAAGGCACCAATGAAAATGAAAGGGCGCCATGATCCTACATTCGTGTCAACCTCCCTCCCCATCACCAAATGTTTTCGGACCGAATACCATTATTTAGGCACAATCCCTCCGTAATTTCTCGCCAAAAATTCCATAAGTAATGCTTTCCGTTTCACCTTTCGCCAAATGGATAACAATTTTGCCGAATTCCTGACGACTGGGGGGTGGAACACTTCGAGGATGTGTGTGGGGACACACATCCTCGAACGACGTTTAATTATGTCTGTTGTAAAAGTTTTGTGCACCCGTTACACCCATAGTCTGCACCCGCACTGCACCCACAAAGTTGAAAATGCAAAAGCGGCATCCGGCATCCCTGGACACAAGAAATAAACAGTTAGTAAGACTCCCCTTTTGTAGAACCAATTGGGGACAGCAAACATCGCACTATATGTTTTTTAATAAATGGAATAATCTTCCGCCATTTGTTAAAGATTTTAAAAACAAATATATCTCAGTATGTAATGAATAACTTGTTATCTTAGTGTTTTAAGTGTGGACCTAGTTGACCATTTAATTAACTTTTTGAACTTTCTTAGGATTTCTAATTAATTAATTTTCATAATCTTGTTGCATGCTCTATTCTGTTTGGAGCAGATATATATTATAGTCTGAATAATTATAGTCAGTATTTTATGTAATGATTATTTCCTTCTTATTTGAGGACCCTTATGAAAACCATCTGTCAAGGGTGGGTAGTAGCGAAGTAGTTGTAGTTCGCTACTGTAGCGAACTACAATTTTCAAGTAGCCAGTAGTTTTTGACTACTTTTTCAAAACAGTAGCTGTAGTTATAGCGAACTACGTTTTGCCTAAAAGTAGCCAAGTAGTTGACTACTTTTCAAACAGCAAATCGCTATTCGCTACTTTTTTAAATTGTTAGCAACTTGATAGAATAGAATGTTATTAAGACACAGTTTGCTTAAAATCAATACTCAATTTGCACCAATAAAGTATACCGTGCAACTGTTCAAACTGTGCAAGTGCATGCCCACGTAAGTCGATTTGTTATAGGTTACATTACAGCCTGAGCTATAGTAGATGTTTCAAATACAGTAAAATTAAAAAATATTGAGTAGCGAAATAGCGAAATAGTTCGCTACATTTTTTAAGCAGTAGCTGTAGTCAGTAGCGAACTATTTTTGTTCAAAAGTAGCAGTAGTTGTAGCTGACTACATTGAAGTAGCTGTAGTTATAGCGAACTATAAAAAGTTTGTAGTCAACCCACCCTTGCCATCTGTGATGATAAGGCTTCCTCACAAAAGATTGTTTAAAAAAAAAAGAAAAGGTTCATGCAGACTATCAATAAAACCAAACAGATTACACATTTACAAGGGTTCGAAGCATGCGGCAGAGAAAGAGTTAGCACTACAAAGTATACTAATAGCTTATGGAGACACAGCACACCCAGGTACGATACGTACCCGTCTAAACCACGAAACCACGCGAAAAACCGTTCGATCGTTTGACGTTTTAATATTCTCAACATGTACAACCTTTTGCCTGCTTTCTTCACAATGATATTAACATGTTCGTTCCATTTCATATCATCTTGGATAATAACTCCCAGCACACGAGCAGATTCTACCCTTTCGACCAAGACATCTCCAATATCCAAAGGCAGAAAAAGCCGTTTATCTTTTGAGAATCAGACAACAAATAATTCTTTACATTTAGATACGTTGAGTTTCATTTTGTTTTGAATTGTCCAGTCATTGCTTTCATTAACAAGATTTTGTAACTAACTTAATTTAATTTATTTTTAATTTATTCTGATAAAAACCCCAAAACTCTTGAAAGACTTAGTGTAATAAATGAAGAATTACTCAAAGTTTATGATTGGTTAAATGCAAATATAAAATAATAAAAAAAATCAAACTTTGTTATTTTCTACCTTTCTCAAAAAAAGCTAAATTATCAAATAAATATTAAAATATTTGATAAAAAAGACAACAAATACATATCTCTTGAACGCAAGGAGTATGTCAAATATCTAGGCATTTTACTTGATGCTAACTTATCATGGAAAGATCATATTAGTCATTTAGTGCCTTTTGAAACCCTGACAAAAATATATCGTTCTTTGATATATCCTTATTTATCTTATGGTTTAACAGTTTGGGGAAACGCTACACAAAAAAAATTTTAAAAATTTCTCATACTTCAAAAACAAGTTCTTCGTGTAATGCATTTTGCTAAAAACCGATATTATGCTATTCCATTGTTTAACAATACTAATAATTTACCAATAAGTATGCTCTATGTTGAATCTGTTCCCAAATTAATGTATGACGTTACTAATGAATTGATACCAGAAAATATTTCTGACTTATTTATTCAAACTTCTAATGTGCATTCCTATATTACCAGATCCTCAACAGCCGGTAATTACTATAAAAAATATTCTCGTACGAATCAACAAAAAAAATGCTTTTCTAGAATTGGTGCTAAAGTGTGGAACAACGTTCCGTTATTTATTCGTAATTTAGGAAGAAAAATGTTTTCTAAAAAGATTCATGACTTACTTCTCCGGATCCTGATTAATGAGAAGGACTACCCTGAGATATACAAAGATTATCTGAATGATCCATGTTATGTTGCGTGATAGATTGAAAAAAAAATTGAAGATTATTATTCAAGATATTAAACAGTTATTCTACGCACTCGAGTCGAATATGAGCTGATAGCCGATGAGGCGCGTAGCGCCGAATCGGCTATCGCTCATATTCGACGAGAGTGAGTGGAATAACTGTTTTATTATATACACAAGGTCTGAATTCACAGACTTTGCTTTTCGAATATTTTCAATATTTTTCTATTTTGTATATGTTTTTATCTTCGCTCTTTCGGCCGATTATTTTTTCAAAAATATATATTTTTAACCATTTTAAATATTAAAAATTTATTTGCTAACCTGAAAACAATTTGTGGGAGTTTTTCCATTGTGTTTTTAATCCTGTGAAGGCTATAAAAAGCGACAACTTGCCGTTTTCTCGTTTGCAAAACATCGTAAATTCAGTTTGGCCGCCATTTTGTTTTTCTCTACTAGCAGGATATGAGCTAATATCCTGCTAGTAGAGAACCAATCAGATTGCAGAATACCTCATATCCAGACCTTGTGTATATAATAAACACTGTTATTATTATTATTTATCCCCGAGCCGACGGCGCGGCACGCCGTGCGAGGGTACTAATTCCGCCCGGCTATTTACACCCTAGCCAAGTCTAAAGTTCGGTAAATATCGTGGGCGCATGGCTCACCGTTCATCGTTCATGGCCACGTGGTCATCTCACTGATCTCAAAATATGTTGCGGACTGTCGTGAATAGTGAACACTTATTGATCAAATTAAAATTTGCATATGCGTACGGGACGGGGGGCGGCAGCTTCCCCCCCCCCCCAAAGATTACGAAGTCGAAAAGTCGGGCAAATGTTCAACATAAGTCGGGCGAAGAGTGGGAAATTAAAAAGCCAAAAAAGTAGTCAAAGCAATAAAATCTCTCTTAATAATAACCCCAGTTTGTTGGGCAAACAAAGCCAGTTGGGCAATATTCGCTTCACAGTCGGGCAATATTGGGTTATTATAAAAATAAATGGGACAAATTCTGTCAATTTTGCGGAAAATTATGTCAATTTCGTGATGTTTGGAAAATTTGTTTGATGTTCCGAAAAATTTTGGTATGTTCGAAAAATTTTTGGACCCCTAAAATAGTACACTGACCGAAATTTTTTTGGCGACGGGGGGGGAGGTCGCCAAAATTAATTGTTCCGGAAAAAAAAAATTTCGGCACTGGTCGGGCACAATCACTGAGCTATACTATATTACTGGGGGACCTGCTCGGGATCAAAAAGTGTCGCCAAAAACATGGCGGATCTTACGCCATTTCCATGACAACACTTACTTTATTTTCATGGTAACTGCCACTGACCAACCGCGATCCTAAGCTTCCGACGATGTCCTTAACCCCCCTGGTTTTGGGGCAAATATTATTTTTTATTTATTTTATTTTATTTTGACACGCTAACTACGTCAATTAAAAACATTGATTTCCACGAAGGGCGTGTGTTCAAAAGTTATTATATATAACTATAAGTGTTGTTATGACTCTTATGGAATCAAATAAAAGAAAATAGAAATAATCTAACTGTTCCAATTGACAAAATTGACAATATAGACAACTAACAAAACATATAGATAACTATTTACAATAAAGGATATATATATATATATATATGTATGTATAAATATATTATTTAGAAACATGAGCAGCAATTTTTCTTTCAAATAGAGACTGGGACCTAATTCCTCTGATTTCTTTAGCACTGAGTTCCATATTTTTGCCCCATTAAACATAAAACTCTTTTTCATGCTATTTGTGCGGGGCTGTGGCAAAACGAGTGTTGTTTCAACGTCACGGAGACAGTAATGCGTATTCTCATTCTTGTAGGTAAAAAGGTCTGTTAGGCTTTTAGGCCCAGACATATTCAAAATTTTGAACATTAATTTTGCCTTAGCTTTAGTTCTTTGTACTTTTAGTGTCTCCCATCCTAACGAATTTAATGCGATTTGGGCATTAACTTCGTTACCCCGATGTCCATAATAATTCGAGCGCATCTATTTTGAAGCTTTTGTAATCGTTGTGATTGAGTTTCACCAAAAATGTCCCACACTTCACAACAATAAGTAAAGTATGGTTGTACAATTGCGTTAAATATAGAAACAAGTGTATCACGGTCAACAAATTCTTTTAGTTTTCTAATAACAGAAATGGCCGATGTGATTTTCGTACAGATACTCTCAGTGTTACTTTTCCAAGAGAGATGCTGATCAACTATTACTCCTAGTGTCTTGCATTCCTTCACTTGTTTAATTGGTCTGTTTTCAATCATTATGTTTAAATTTGAATCTGAAACAGTATGCACAAGAGATCTTGATCCTATGAGCATAAATTCAGTTTTGGCAATGTTTAGACTCAGTTTGTTCGCGTTTAACCACATTCTGAGGTTTTCCAAATCAGAGTTTACTGCATTTACAACATCATCAATTGTACCACAGGAAGCAGTGAGGTTTGTGTCATCTGCAAAAAGTCTTGGCTTTGTCCTATTTAGGCTTTCAGATAAATCATTTATATATATTAGGAAAAATAAAGGACCTAAAATGGAGCCTTGAGGAACACCACACTTAACTTTGTGTTCAGACGAGACAACACCATTTACTTGGCATTTTTGGGTGCGATCAGTAAGATATGATCTCAGCAACAAATGTGCCTTATCCTTAATACCGTAAATTTGCATTTTCTCAAGTAGAATTTCGTGATCTACGGTGTCAAATGCTTTTTTTAGATCTATAACAACTACTAAGTTAAACATTTTTCGATCCATGTTAACATACCAACTATTTGTTGAATCTAAAAGGGACGTAGCGGTGGAATGAAACTTTCGAAAGCCAAATTGGTTATCAGAGAGAATTTCGTTTTTAGTTAAATAATCATACAGCTGGTCATACAGTAATCTTTCCATGATTTTGCTTATGACTGGTAGTATCGATATTGGCCTGTAATTACCAGGGGCCGGTTGTATAAAAACGCAGTTAGCGCTAACTGCAGTTAAAAAGTAGTTAAAAAATAGTTAACTTTAATCACGTAGTTAAGCCGGTTGTATAAAAGTGTAGTTAGCCTTAACTGCAGTTAAAAAGTAGTTAAAGTTAACTATGCTTTAGGGTATA